GCTGGGGAGCTGGAAGATGAGAACTGGCGACTTTGTAGTACAACTGCAGTACGCGGAGTAGGTGGGGAGCTGGAAGCTGAGAACTGACAACTTTGTAGTACAACTTTAGTACGCGGAGTATCTGGGGAGCTGGAAGATGAGAACTGGGAGAATTGGTGCTTCATTTGTGGAGGAAGTCTCGTACGAAACACCGCAGATCTCCCTCTCAACCCCCCACACTCCCACACATCGGCGTAGCTCGATCACACCTGCGCAACCACATAGTCACTCCTTCACATCCGCCCTCTCCTTCTTTCTTTACACACATCTTTTCTCTGAATAGTTTACATTGTGTCTAGAGGTCATGGCTTACTGCGTGCTTTCTCTGTGTCTGATACTTGAAGTCAAACTGATTTGCTTTGAGCCTCTGCTCGCAGGATCTCTACTCGCCGCTTGTTTTTGGGACCAGGATGAAGCGCACGCAAATCCATTTTGTGTGCGCTTCGACCTGCTGACGGTTTACTTTGTTTTTGTCTTGTGAAATGAGACTGACTTGTCTGCAGCCGTTTGAAGAGCGACTGACTTCTGACGAAGCTAAGATATATATTTTCTCTCGCCTCTGTCCATTTACGTCTCCGCACGCTCGCATCCATACATCTACCTCTCCACCTCCATACATCTACACATCTATATGACACCTGCACATCCACACTGTCACTCCTTCACGTCCATCCTTTCTTTCTTTCTTTCTTTATCGATGTCTTTTCCACAGTACTGGACAATCACATGTCTCGCTCTCGGGCCACCCGTCGTCTAGTTTTTCTTTGGCAATCCCAGGAAGAGGCCGTTATTAGACCCAACAGCTAAGACGGTGGAGCGCTCTCAGAATCCATGTAGGAGTCGGGCCCCGGACCATATGGGTGAGGGAAACGTGGTAAAGAGGTAGTAGATGGCACCGAGGGTTGATGACGAAGGGCATGAGGTGGATAAAGCGCGAGGCGGTCCAGGAGCTGATTGGCGCGGCGGACTTCATCAAGCATACGATCAGTGGAGGCATGAAGATCCCGAAGTAGCTGTATAGTACCTCCAAGGAGTGGGCGATGGAGTCCAAAAGTGATCGACGGGAGATCAAGAGAGCGATAATGCCCAGAGGTGCCTGCTGTGGATGGGTTTCCAAGGTGGACCAAAATGAAGCTTCAATGCAAAACGGGTCGGGCACGGGATGGGGGCCGAGTTGACGTTTGATCCACTGAGATAGGAAAATGTACGAGGAGAGGAATGGTAACCATGAAAGCAATGAAATGGGTTTGGAGTAACTGTGACATCAAAGTTGAAACAAGTGGAAGGTAAAGCTCGCTTTTTGGACTTGTGGCAGAAAATGGTGACATTGGGTAGTCGCAACGCTGCGAGAAAATATGGTACAACTCGGTGAAGGGGTCGGGGAACCGCCAAAGGAGTCAGAAAGGAAGGTCTCCACGACGGATGCCATACGAGAGCAACTTGCTGATGCTGATGAACATCCCTGCGTATTGAATCAGGGGGTGTGGGTTGGGATTGGGGAAAATTGCCCGGGTGCGGAGTCAAGACACTCCGAATTGGGCCGTGTGGAGGCTGGTGGGGTGGTATGGTCAGCGGATCTGTGTGTGTGCTGCGGGATCGGCTGCGGCGAGAGTCTTGTGACCGGCGAGATCGGTGGGCCGGTCGGGAATCGCGTCGATCCCTGGGTGTAGATTGGCGCTGTCTGGTTGATCGAGAGTGACGGCGAGATCCGCGATCTCGAGAGTCCCGCTGGCTGTATTGGCCTTGTGAGGAACGGCGAGCTGGTGTGTGAGACCGAGAAGATCGTCGCCGACGATGACGTCCGGAGTGGCGCCTGTGGGAACGGGTGCGCCGGTGAGTGCGGGAAGCGCGGCGTTCCCGTGTTGATTGGGTCCGAGACGGGCGTGTCAGTGGTGGTCGAACCTGGTGGGATTGGGTCCGGGCGGTGGGTCGCCGACGGACTGGAGGTCGCGGGGCAGCGGTGAGGGGAACAGTTGGTCTGGGGATTGGTGTGCGTGCAACGGTGGTCTGTGGCACTGAGATCTGGAGAGGTCCAGATGTGTTCGGTGTCGGCGAAGTCGATGGTGGAGGGGGATCTGTCAACGGGGCATCTCGGTCCCTGGAGCTGGTGGGGGGCCGGCAATGCGGCTTCATTCGCTTCATCCGCACTGTAGTCCGGAAGGTCAGTATGGTTTCGATCACGGGATCGAGAAGACTCCCCGCGTTCACGGCGTCGGCGATGACGATGTTGAGATTCATGTGAGGATGCGGAGCTGTCCATCATGGCAAGGATCCAAAAACAATCGAAGAGAATTGAGAAACCGAGACGTCAAAGAAAGAGGAAATTAAATTTAAACCATAAGTTGAAAGTCGTGTTGGCAGGAAAGGCATGGATGTCCACATAGAAATTTTGGTGGGTCATGCAGGAGCCACGTAAAAGATGTGGAGTGGAGTGATAGTGCATTGGAATATATGTAAAGGTGAAAAATAACATGAATCCGAAATGTGAGAAAGAGCAAAGTCAACAGAAATTTCTTTTCGAGGCAATACCGAGTGGAAGAAGGTGGTGAAACAAACGTTCTAGCGCGGGTTCAGGCGAGAACGAGAGCGGGAACGAGATCGGGTCGAAGTGTCTCTGGGCACAGGACCATGACGTGAGTTGCCGCCCGTGGTGCCGCCGGATCACGTAATTCTTCTTCAAGCTGTTCAGGACTATGATGGAGGATGTGCAGCAACCCAAAGGCAGTGAGAAGCTCATGAGTGTAATGAAGGGTTGAGTGGGTAGCGCGCAAGCCCAATAAGAGTGTAGAGTCTAGACTCTAGACCTTGTAGTTGTGCTCGAAGATGTGGGCAGGTAACCCGATCAAGAAGAGGGGTGGAACGGATCGCAAGTGGTTGACGCTGAACCAGGGCCAGAGAGGCGTGTACATGAAATAATTCCCGATGTAGGACGGCCTGCGCCACCAAAGAGATGCCCGCCGTCGGCGCCAAGCCACAAGAAGATTGTGGCATGCCAAGAGGATCGGCAGTGGGGGCAGGTGGTCGACTCATGGCGATGGGATCAAGGTGGACGGCATCTATATCAACAATGGAAACTGGAGCCACAGGTAATTAAAAAGTGAAATGAAATGGAAGTTGGAGTGGACCAGAACAAAAGTATGTGAAGTGAAAAGCGCGGTGCAAGCTGTTTTTATCACATGGAAAAAGATCCAAACTAGTGGGAAGATCGTGAGACTGGGTCTAACGCGGGTTCACTCGTGAGCGAGAACGAGATCAATCCATACGGTGGCTGAGGGCGGCGCGAGGCACGGCAGTGGTCCGAAAGATGTCGTCAGTCGCTTCAGAACCAGTGGTAGGTGTCGAAAGGGTCAACGGTGTAGCCAGGGGTGGCTGAGAAGCCGAAGTCGTAGTCCGGATAGAGAACGATGAAGTCGGTGGGAAGATGCGGGGGTGCGGAAAAGAAGCGTGTCCTCTCAGTTCGGCTGCTAACTGAGCTGAATCAAATCGTGTGGCGTGCATCAAGCCGAAGGTGGTCACAACTCCAAAGTGTAACGAAGAGCAGTGTAGGTGACCTGCCGTGTCTGAAGGATGCTGGCCTCCAAACCCCGAAGTTGTACTTGAAGATGAGGACAAGTGACGCGTGTCCAAAATGGCAAAGGGGGAACGAAGAACATGGAGGATAAGGTTCAAAGAAGCATGTACATGAAGGATTTCACGATGGAGCATAGCCTGGGCCACCATAGGGATGCCCTCCATCGGTGCCAAGCCCGCGGCAAAAGTGGGCATGGGAGTGGGGGAGCTCATCACTCTGAAAGCTAAGGTACCGGCAGACTCCAATGAGTTTAAAAGAACTTAGGTCGCTCTGACCACGTTGAGGCGTTAAGCCAGCTTGGACCGCTGCGGTCACGTAAAGGCATGAGCCATCTTGGAATGCAATAATTCGACAAGTCTTGGCAAATAACTTTGGCGTAAGCCTCCTACGCTCGCTGCGATCAGGGCTTGTGTGCGCTACAGCTCTCAGACAATCGGCGCGCGCACCTGGAGAACCCTCTGACCTCTATGGCTTGGAAGGAATCTGTGGCGGTGGCCGCTTTAGCTGATCACCGTTGGTTGCGGGCTCGGCTTGACCAATGCCAAACTGGCTTGTCCTCCCCATCGGGCGGCCTACACCTCAAACCCACGTTGATCCGGGCCACAGACCGGGACATGCAGCAGGCTCTCAGTCTTGTATGCCCTCGTCTCCATCCACATGACCCTGTGGAAGGCTCCGCCACTGTATCCAGGGAGGGGATACGTGCGACAAACCCCTGTTTGACGGGTCCACGGCGGGCTCATCCCGGGCTCTCACTAAGAGAGACACACTTATGGATAGAATGCCACATGCCACTCGCCAGCCTAAGAAACCCAAATCCTGAAGGGTCCAAAAGAACCTATCGGCCTGGGGGTCTTCAAAGGGAGGTGAGGCCAAAGGCTCCAGTCCGGAAGCGGCGATCAGGTCGACATGACGACGGCCGCTCACATCTGCAGATGCACTTTACCAAAAGATTAAAATTCGCAGGTACGTCCACGGATATCCCATTTCACTGGGTTGCAAGGACCTCGTTTGAATGTAAGTACACTGTGTACGAGGAAGGGAGGGGTAGGGAGAGAAGAGAGAAAAGAAGGAGAACACGACGGTGTTCCCAGCTGCGACACAAGCGTCCAACGACACACCAAGAAAGGAAGAAAAGGGTTCCCAGCTATGACGAAAGCATCCAGGGACACCCAAGCAAGAAGGAAGGGGAAAGAAAGGAAAGAAAAAAGAAAGAGAGAGAGAGAGAGAGAGAGACAGAGAGAGAGAGGAAGAAAAGAAGAGGAAAGAAAGTGGACGCGCGCACACACTGGGGAGAGGGGTGAATCTGAGTGTTACATTCAGGAACACCCCAAAAGGCAAAGAAGGAAGAGGGGGAGGGTAGGGGGAGGAAGGGGGTTAAGGTCCCGACAGGTTCCCACCCAACCTTGAACAAACTTCGGTCGCTGCGACCGCCTCGTGGCGTTAAGCCTGCTTGGACCGCTGCAATTACGTTCTGGCATTGAGCCTACCCAAATTCAATGTTTCAGCAAATCTTGGCAAATAACTTTGGCGCAAGCCTACTCCGCCCGCTGTGGGCACCTGCGTTTCCAAAGCAGGGGAAACAACGGCAAACCCCCGTTCAACGTGTCCACAGGGGCCACTCGTCGGGGTCACCCTGGGACCCTGGGCTGACACGAAGGTCAGACACATTTATAGAAATGCGTATTGACCGTATTGACTTGAAAGCGGTTGCCGCACGCCAACCTGGGCACCCAAATCCTGAACAGACAGTTCAGGCAAAGCCCAAAGCTAAACGGAAGTGAGGCCCAAAGCTCAAGAACCGGAGATGACGAGCAAGATGACGACGTCCGCTCATGTCTGCAGAGTTCAAATTGAAATTGAAGGGTGGCCACCAGCTGCGCCTTACAAAGCGCCCGGGTGCACCATTGCAGGTATGTTTGCACGTCCAAACTTTCAGGGTCTTTGTTGGCTCTGGCGTGAAAGTGGACCCAGACAATCCAACAGGATCCCTGTGACTCCAAGGGTTACACACACACACGGGTGTACATGTGTAAATTTAAACACCATGTATATATATATAATATTTATATATATAATATATGTTTGTGTATTTGTTCACGCCTATGTATATATATATATACACATACACATGGCATATGAACACACATGCTCTCCAACACAGGTATAAAAGGTCACACAGCCCTCGCTCTCTATGATGTACACACGCGCCAACAACCCACAGATATAAGGATGGATATGATATAGATGTGCACTATGTTACAGTAGTGTATGGGTGCACCTGACATGTTTGGAAGCAGACTTGGGCCACACAAATGGCGAGGCCATGAAAGATGCTGCGACACACTGGGCCGCTTGTTTGCCTTTGCTTTGGCTGTGAGCTTGACCACTCCCCCACTAGAAACCATTTTGCATCCGTGCGTGGTTGTAGGGGAGGCAAGAATCTCACACCGTCACTGTGCTTGAATCCAGGTGCAGAGTGCTCCTGGCTGGTCCGAGAACACGGGCTTCTATTTAGCAGCCTTTTGCTTGCATGCATTGGCTACCGACTGCCGAGAATATCATTTTGCTGTCAAGGCCACCTGACAGACAGACGGAATGTTCCTTAGTCTCAGGTATGGCCCTTGACTACAATTCCATGCATGTGCCTTCGTTGCAGCTGCATTGAACAAGTTTCCCGCCAAGCTCAGATATTTCTGCTTGAACTCAGAGACTCAAGCAGTCAAGCAGTCTTGCGACAGTTTCGACGGCTCAAGGCACTTGCACATGGTGGACCTCTCCTGCATTGGACCATCCTTTGAGAGGCCCTAACCACTACACCACCCCATCAAATTCCATTGCGTGTAGCATTGTTATGCATTGTTTGTCTTCAGATTTTAGCACCACAACTGTTTTCTTTGCGTGCTTTGCAGGCTTTCGAAGAAGATGCTCCCCCTCAATGATGCGATTCAGGTGCTCGAAGCCGAAGTTGCCCAAGGACAGGTGGATCAGTGGATGTGCTGAGTGTGTTTTCAACTAGAGCGTCCACAATTACATTTGTCATGGTGCACACTGTGCACACTTGCATGCAATCCTTGGTGGAGGCATCGGCACGCCACCACAATGTCTCTTGGTTCGGGGAGTCCCGAGAGATTCAGGAGCTACTAGTAGCTTCTTGTTCCTAGTAGTGATGGCCTCCAACCTAATAGCGATGGCCTCCACCTAGTAGCTTCTTGCTACTAGTGGTACTGCACTTAGAGGCATGGGAAGGGAGCAAGATCGGTGACGCACCCTTTCTGAGACAGAAGGGAGTTATCTTCACGACGGAACGCTACGATGTACCCACAAAGCCTAAGCGGATATTGCCAGTGATAGGTCATTGGAACGACAAGTCCATAGAGTTTCTTTTCTCTCATTGTGTCAAAGTGATTCTTCAGGCCACAGACCGATAAGCCTGTTAAACTAGCGAACGACTGCTTTCCTGTTTTATGAAGGAGCTTGCCAGTAACAAACGCCAGTTTGTCATTGTCATACCACTCATGCATACGATACCCGCTCCATAGTGAGAAGGAAGTCTAGAACTGCAGAACCTTGGGAAATCAAAATTTTCATGGAAAGCTTTGTTCCTTTTGCGTGCTTTGCGCGGCTTCTCTTCCACTGACATGTGGACAGGGCCCTGTTCCCTGAAGCGTCGCACATTGGCATTCTGGCAGTTTGCCCATTTCCTCCAGTGCATGTAAAATAATTTTGTGGTTGTAAAGCGGAAATGCTACTGAAAGTTATCACGCAGTTGCCCATTGACGGTGGCTTGTTGGGTGGGTGGGGTTTGAGACGGTTGAGAGGCTTGGTAGGGGGTTCGGGGCACCATGTCATGTGCATGCAAAATATGTGTCAGGACCCAAACGGTACGGTATATATATAGTAGAGAAAAGTGTGCGAAGCTTGCTCACAACAACATAACAGCCCTAAAGCCACTGATCGACAACATTTCCTGTGCATCATCTTGCAACTACATTTGTTTCACAGCAAACTCAGTAAGCCACTGTGAATCTGGATCATTCCAATGCTTGGCACAGCAACCGAGGAAAGCAACCCCCTTGGGCATCATGCCCACTCGAGGTGGTGTTTGTGCTGGTAAGCGTGCCAAACCGTGAGAAAAGCCCAGGGTCCAAAGTCCAAACCTTAAAGAAGTTCAGAAACAAAAAGAAAAGAATACAAAGCAACAAACAAGAAAGTTGTATAAATGCATACGGTAGTATAATGTTTTTTTCCCCAAGAAGTTGTATAATGTTGTATGCCTTCTATGCCTGTCAACTCCTCGATGGAGAAACTGCCTCTTTTTGGCCTGGGTGTGGCGATGGGCCTGCCGCGTGAAGAAAAACCCTCGGGTCAGGACCCAAACTGTTCCCTATACTATACTGTACTTTACTATCCTACATGCTATGACCCAGAGCAGTGTTTCCACACTCATTCTCACTAAGGAGTTGATGCCAAATCTAAATCCCGCAATTGCAGTTGATGCTGGCACCTGCGGCATCTCTTGCTCAAGAGCTGCTCCAAAATCAATGCCGGAAGCTTGAAATTTCAGGATATTTGGATGAACTTGCGTGTCATCATAAAAAACACAGTGAGGCCTGTGCAGCCTTGATTTTCGGCTCGTGCTGGGTTTCACCACACACTGCTGTTGGATGCGGGTAAGAATATGAGATTCCCTGTCTGAAAGCATCGCAAATGCGATGCCTTCCAGACAGATCAAATGTGAACCGTGGCCAGCATTTCCCACCCTAGTGCTGCATCGGAAGGATGAATTTATATGCATATAGATTTTGAAGCCACAGCTTGTGCTTGGGTTTTATAGGTAGTATACACAGTGTCCGGTGAGTGAGGTGCTGACAGAAGGCCGGTGATTTTTCCTGAAGCCGTCAGGCAGATATAATCTTGGCCTTTTAGCTGGGCTTCATTAATTGAGCTCAATTTATCTCAGGCTGTGGCAGACACAGCGAGAATGTCTGGCCGTGCGACAAAAATCCACATCAGGGCCCTTTTGCTGTGAGCAGATCGCTAGCCCTTCTTCTCCTAGCTGAATCATACATTTTCGCCGAGCTGCATTTTTGGCTCCTAGTTGCTTTTGTGCACATGAGATTTCATAGGCAGAGCGTTCCTCAACACACGGCTCAGACAAGCACCCTCACCATCACAAGCTGTTTCTTAAAGTCCTCCAGACTGAATGAGTACGGCCACCTTTGCATTTTCCCCTCAGCAGGTAGGCTTTTGAACTCCATCATGCCAAAGCAGGAGGCCAGGCAAAGTGGTTGAATTCAGACTGATTCTCTCAAGACGGCTCGCAGGTGGGCTCAACGAAATGGTTGGGCCACGAAACTGCAAGAAGGTCTCACAAGCGCAGCAAAGATTAGAAAACCCGTTGTGTGAAGACGTTGAGTTTTGCGTCGCGACTTTGGAAGCTCAAAAGCCGAGGCAACAAAATGAAGGCCAAGGGCCTTCAAAAGCGTCTTTGTTCAAAAGCACAGGTGTTCCAGTCACACCTTGGTGCACAACTCGCACACGTTCACTCACTGGCTAAAACATTCTGAAAGTAAGAAGCATTGTAATGTAGTGTCAATAATTGACCTAGGGCCAATAAGCGAGCGTTTTGTCCCTAAAAGTTGGGGAGTAGTGATGCCCAAGGCCTAGTGCGAGCATAGTAGCGTGCTTGCTGAGGTTACGCTGGTATTGCCAAATGTGTCAGAAGCAGTGCCGTGACGAGAATGGCTTCAAGTGCCACCGCATGTCCGCAAGCCTCTCAGTTATGGACAGCTGTGATTTGCGCCTACTGTCCTTCCGGTCCATGGCGGACGCCTGTATCCTTCTCACATCTTCTCACTGTAGGATTCGCGCATAGCATATATAGTATAACGTAATAATTATAGTGTTTCGATTCCTAGCCCCGACAATGTCTATGGGGGCATGGTTGAAGCAGCGAGAAAGCTCAGCCTGCAGATTGCTTTGTTCTGAGTGTCGGCATGGACGCTCGGCTAAGGACGGCCACCAGCGACAAATGCAGCTCTTTGTGCAAGACCCCAATCGATTTATGGATGAATTTTCCCAGGAGTTGGTAATGATCGTTGCTTTGTTGAAATGCCCCAGCCATTTGCCACCTACAGGAGTTTGAACGGGGCTTTATGCAGCTAATGAGCAGCCCAGCTGCAAAAGAAAGTTTGGTTGAAAGGCTCACTTTGCCTGTGCTGGCCAGGCCACAGCTACAGATCGCAAAGAGTAGTGGCCCTAGGTTGCCAAGGCGAGATTCCAACCAAAGCTCAACATCCATTGATTGCCTTAAGGGCATGGGTCGACAGATGAAGTTAAGAGGTCAGATTGCTTTTGGTCTCAAATTACAGTCTTAGTGTCATTCTGGTTGACATCGACCTCAAGGTTTTGGCAAACACCGTGTACTGTTGACACCTCAGAGCTTTTGCGAAGAAATGCCCTTTGTTCCTAGTAGCGTCCTTGCTCCTAGTAGCGATGCCCTTTGTTCCTAGTAGCGTTCTTGTTGCTAGTAGTATGGCCAGGAGCCCCTAGTAGCTTCTTGCTCCTAGTAGCGATGCCCTTTGTTATTGCTGATTGTGATTGCTGTCAGGCATGAAATTCTGCATGTTTTAGTTTGCACAACCTTCCACACGTTTAATGCCCCGCTTGCCTTGTGATTGACTCAAGCCACTGGCTTTCCGAAATGGCCTTGCGATGGACGTGGCCTAGCTGAATGCAAGCTTTCTCGCATTGAATGGCAATGCGGCTTCGTTAAAACTGTTGGTGCATGGGTCGCGCAGGTTGTAAAACGTCGCTTGGATCCTCGCAGCTATGTGAAGCTGGTGGGCTCAGTTGAGGGCTGTTGTGTTGCTCCTTTGGCGTGTCTTGCTTGCAAGATCTCGCAAGTGTTTGTGCAACTTGCTTGCCTGTTAGGAAGAACGGGTGTGTATAATAAGTTTGAGTATATATTACGAAAGCCAGCCGATAGGCTTTTAGAGCGAACGAAGTGAGTTAAGGAGGTGTGGGGGGGGGAGGTCGCGAAAAGGCACAATTTGAGAGGGCGAACCCGGAGCTTGGTGGGGGAGAGCGCTCGAAAGCGAGGGTCAGAAAAGCAGTGAATCTGGGGTCTGGTGATGCGAGTGATGCAATGGACGCCGAGTAGTGCATCATTAGCATCATGAAGGGCTTCGGAGGCTATTTGGACAATCAATGGGCATTGAGCAATCGAGTGGAGACAGGGACCCACTTGCAGAGCAGACCGCCGCCGCATGTAGGATTTGATTTCCCAGGACAGCCCGTAACTCGTGAAGTCCATAGAGAACCGAAAGTGACATGAGTTGAAGTCCATGAATTTGGATTCATATCCGCATACGGTTGACTACATATCCGCATAGGGTTCCTGCCCCCTAGCAAAAACTATGCTTGCACCATGTCCTCAGTCGAGTGGATGCTTCTCGCGGCGTCCACACGCACCGAACGTTTTTTCCGCCTTGCCAGTACAGATAGATAGATAGACAGACAGATAGATACATACATAGATAGAGAGATAGAGAGAGAGAGAGAAATATTTTTGCTGGCAGCCCTGGCCGAATCCAGTCAGCCTGGTCCACGGCCCAAAGATCTACACACGCAGTTGCCAAAGTCAAGGCCTCTGAGTGAGAAAAGCGAAGAGTTGATAAGAAAGAGAAGAATAAAGCATGTGTTTGGATCGTTCAATAAAGGCCCCTTTAAAAGGAAAAGGGCTGTGTTTGTGATCGAGCCAGGACATGACTCACTCAAGTCCAGGCATGTGCATCGATAGGCACACAAATCCTCACTCCTTTGCTAGCCCAAGCTACTCCCGTGCGACCTCCCCTTCGGCGCCGCGGGATCAAACGTCCGTGTCCCGGCTAAGACGTGCCCGCTCACTCTTCCAAATCAACGAAAGCCGCTTTTTTCGACGTGCCGCAGTATGCATTGCAAACTTCAAACACTCCAAATGTATCCAAATGTAACATAATATAACAAACACATACTTGCTTCTTTTCAACCCCACGCCATACCGCGCGCCAGCGCGCGGCGACGCTGACTATGGAGAAGGTCTTTGCAAGCTGCCGACCATGTGTCTGTGCCGCAACGCCCGCCAGAAAAAGAGACACTCGTCTGGCGGCTGCTGGCTTTCGTCCCCCCCTTCTCAGGTATATACTATATACCTAGAACCTATTTGACCCCTGTTTTTATAGGAGAAGACCATACTTTGGTTTCAACACAGGGGTTAACCAGGTTCTAGGTATATAGATATAGATGTATGTGCTGTATAGCTTTACATAGACAAATAAGGGTGGAAACCTGTTATAGGACAAGGGACTTGCTGTAAACATAAGTTAAGGAAAGTGCATTGATATCTGAGTTGAGCCGTGCACATGCTTGACTCAGAACTGATGCCGTCAAGCATGTAGTTGTGCCTCCAGAGCAATTTTCCATAGTGTTCCATTCTTGCAGCTTCATGTGGCACAGTGATTTTATATTTGATGCGCCAAGTTTCCAAAAGTCTTAGGGCAGGCAACCAGTGGAGTCATTTTTTAGGCATGATTTTTCCATTCTTATTCCTGTCTTAATCTGGTCCTGCTAGCCTTCGTCACCAACCTGGCCTCACGTTTTCCTCACCCCTTTTGTAATACAAAAAGAGCATAGGCAGTGCGGCAAAATGCGCAAGGGACCTGGCGGGTCGACGACAGACGAGTGTTCCCGCACCTGAACCATCACAGGGCCAAAGGGCAAGGGGCCAAGTGTGACATCATGTTTTGCAGACGGGCACAAAGTGCCGCCCAGTTGCTGTTCTCCAGACGCCTCCAAGCTACAGGGTGCTTAAGCACTCCTTGGCGAGCATAGTTGTTTGAAGACGAGGTGGTGCTAGGTGAGGTGGAGCGTCCAAGCTCCTGCTCGCTCTTTCACTGCTGCTTTCCCTTGGCGTCGAACCTCTTCACGACTCTGGACCCTCATGGACTCGACTCTGCAACACACCCTCAACAGCATTCGGGATGCTGGCTATAAGATTTTATCGTCTTAGGGAAGCAGTAGCCGCTAGGTCGGTTATACATATTACGACTCAGAGGTTTAAGCTCCTATGCTGGTGCTTTTTCTAGTCAAGAGCACTATCAGGTGTTAGCTTCACTGTGCTAAGGGCACTTTGGACATCTCCACCGGCCTCTGTGGAGACTTGGCCACGCAGTGGTTGAACCTTTCAAACCCAGAAGTGGCCTTTCCATTGCCAAGCGCGGATGAACCACATGAATTTTGAAGGGTGGCGGTGGGGGAGGCAAGTGGAAAGTACAGAAAAAGTGGTATATATAGATGAGTATAATAGGACACCTATTTTCATCTATTTTCTAATAGTTATAGTAAATAGTACATGTTATAGATGAAAATCGAAAGGCTGAAAGAGTTACAGCTAGTAACGACACGCAGAATGAGCTCGGGTTCTTGAAGGAGAAACTTCTTAGAAGAATTCATTCAAGATTTGAAGAAGACACCTATTTGTTGAAATACATTTTTGTTATTATATATAAGGAATTAACAAGGTAAGCGCTAGTTAGTTAGTACCTATGAAGTAGGACGCTCCTAGGTAGGACGCAGGATAGCTCAGGCTTCCTTGAACAAGTGCTCGAACTATTCATGTGGTTGCTAGGTTGTTAGGAAAAATTGTTAATTGAAGTGCGACAAAAGTAAGACAATTGCTGTCCTATAGTTAAGTTGCCCTAAAAAGCTAGGAACCAAATGAATAGTGCGAGCGCTTCCTTGAAGAAGCGTGAGCTATCCTGCGTCCTAGGTAGTAGCGTCCTGTACCTACTAGCTACCGCAGTTCCTTACTTAATTATATATATAAGTAGGAGGGGAGCGGGCTTAAAGAAAGACATAGCCAATGTTTGGAGTTCTTTTGGTGCCGCTGAGCGCCTGTCGTCAGGTCAGGTGGGACCTTGCAGCAAATGCTTATCCAGCACCTTCTGGGCGAAAGGGACCAGTTGTTTTTGCAGGTCATCGTGATTGATGGGCTTGTGTTTTGAAACCTTGGGGCAGACACAGCGCCTATCTCATGTTATGCAGGTTCCTTTAACCCACCGCACCACGGCCATATGGAGATCATCCGCTATTTGAGTAAAGCATTCTCCGAGGTGTGGCCTGGCCAAACTTTGACGGGTTGTCACCGGGATTTGTCCGCACACTGTTACATGCCCAGTTAGTGGTTGCAGGGCGTCAGCAATATTTAAAGTATATATATATATATGTCACTGTAGATTGAGACCTGCCTAGAAACAAGTCTTATGCTGCTCACTCCTCTTGGCGGCAACGGCCGTGTGCAAGTCAAGGCACATTGTCATTGGAATGAACCCGAACAAGAACTTTGGATGCATTTCTTGGACATGCAGGCTGCTGCATAGATCACCTTGTTCAAAACGAAGAGCGTTCCCTGCCTGATAAACACAGAAGTTACAGGAGTTTTAGTGCAGCTAGAACTCAGGTTCCGAGACGCGCTGAAACTTCGGACTGGGAACAGCCTGAAACATGCCGCATCCTTGTACAATAAAACACCTTGGAGCATAGGCGTTTGGAATGTGCTGGACCGGAATGTTCTAGAACCTTGTGGTGGCTGATTTTTTGCTGGCAGCACAAGGCTCTGAACAAAACCGAACGTTAATTAGCAGGTCCTTCTGCATGAGGTAGCAATCAATGCTGATCGAGCAGCACCCAGCATCATATTGCGGATGTGGCGCTGAACAAAAGCAAAACTTCAGCAACTCTTTTCTTTAGAGAGCATGCAGTGGGTTCCCATGACTTGCTAGCCGATGTACTGTAGAAGCATGTTGAGCCAAATGTCTTGAGCTAAACAATAGATGAGGAGATGCATACAAGAAGCACCCTGCCCACCAGATTTTGTACATGTGGCAAGATATTGGAAGTGCTTTTGAAGCTGCGGTTGCTGCAAGCACCACATTAATCTTGCTTGTGTTGACAAACTGTGGTTGATAAGATAACGTCATAATAATTAGTTGCTGCTGCTTCTGCTGCTGGCACCGCCGCCACTGCTGTGATTGTGGGGCCAGGTAATCAAACTATATATATATATGCTTAGATGTTATTCTTTGCAAACGATTGACTGAGTTTGAGTCGCCTACAGCTGAGGATATACCCCGTGAGTCTGCGGCTTGATTGTCTTGAAGCCCGTCAGTTGACCTGTCTACTTGTACTTCGCCCCCTACTCTCGGCTTTAAGGCCCAGAGACACGCAAGCAGATCATCGAGCAAGCATTGCCATTCATTGGAGCAGGCAACGCGAAGGCCTCAACTGATAGCATTTACACAGGCAAGCGCCGTAGACCTACTAGTAGCTTGAATCGTGTGCAACCAAGTGCCAGGTTGCAAAGCATCAGATTTTGAGAGAACTAGCAACGAACAGTTTTCAGACATTTGTCACTCTCATCATTTTATGCCGTGGAAACCAGGTGTGGGTCTGGGGCGATGCAGCTTGACCGCATCCAGTAGTAACACGGATTTTGTACACACTGTAGTACAAAATTGCATAGTACAAATTGCTTATTCAACCATAGTCAGCCAAGGTGATCTTCAAGCTTGCACAACATGTCGGCGCTTCTGCATTGCACCACGCTGTGCAATTTTGTTGCTGGCAGTTCCTGTCCCACAGCACAAGTGAAAAGAGGTATACTATGAAGAGGTGCAAGAACCGGCATGCTTACTTTGATCACAAGCTTGTGTGATATGCTGTGGTGCACTCCCCTAGGTATCGTGGTATCCGCAGTTGGGAGGAAGACGGGAAGGCTGAACGATATTTGGAGGCAAAGCTGCGAACATGCGCCAAGCAGTCAAGGCTGCAGTGGTAGTCCTTTTTTGTGCTTTTGTTGGTGCAAGGCATGGCCAGAAGAGCCATGGTTTGCTTGGTAGAGCAAGACCGTTACAGAAGACTTACATATATTGGCGTCAACTTGGCGTATATAGGTGCAAACACAAACACCACTTGCTAAGAGATAGGGGCAGAAGCAGGTACCAAAGAACTCACATGTTTGGTCAAGACTTGGTGCAAGAGTGAAGTGGTGTACAGTGTACAGGTTCAAAACATTTGCTGGCCTATGATCTCTACATGTGGGGGACCCTTTGGATACTTGGCATAGAACAAGTTTTGAGAGGTACAGCAACCTTAGGTATCCTGACTTTAGCAGGATTGCATCGAGGGGAGGGGCTTCAATCAATCACTGACCTTTGGGGCCGTAAGATACGATATTGCTGGATGAGGGAGCTTATCCGGATTCATCCTCATCCTTGTTTTCATTTCTTCTTTTCAAGTAGAGGCTGATATGTGACCCACTCCCGCTTCTGCCCCCTCCTAAGTCAAGTCTCTGTGAGAAACCGTGCAGGTTGTGTGGCAAACTGAGGAACATATTATGTCGAAGCTCCTCCCCGTTATTCCTTCATCAGTTCGACTTTGCTGCGTGCACGGCTGAAGTCTGGTGAAAGCATTGATGACATTGTCCCAGCATCTCAGCAATATGTCTCTGAACTGGTACGATTGAGTATCATGTCAGGGCGACGCCTCTGGAGGCAGTATTTTGAGCCAAACCACCCTTGAGGCCTTGTTTAGTGAAAGTCAGTGGTGCACCGAGCACCCCTCTAGTTTCATCCGCTTCAATATGTGGTGATGGCAGCAGCACCACTTTCCCGTTGAGATACCAGGTCATGCTAGCTGGTGTGCTATGGCCCCATTTTGCCATGCACCTGAACTTCGGTTTTCAACCAGTAGTAGCAGCAGCAACTTGTTGCGACCATGTGATCCTAAGCAGGTTCAGGCATCAACAACTTATATAGTTACACGAAGGGGGTACACACACGTTTGTCTAGTAATGAGTAATGAGGTTGCTCAAACAGTTTGTGTTGTTTTTTCTTAACATTTTTGCTGAGTTTTCGAGTCTTCATTGATTTTCTTTGCCTGGAATTGTGATGGGTTTATTCAGGTTCTTTGGGTTCGTTTGTTTGTCCACTGGAGCCTGCTGAGTCTTAATTCAACTACTGTAGCTGAGTTGAGAGCCAGCTAGAGCACACAGATAACCCATCGGATGAAACCATGAGTACTGCAGATGTTTGCCTTTGAGGCATGTGTGGCGGAAGCAGTTAGGCAAGCCTATGATGGAAAGCTGTGATGCTATCCTCTTCCAATTGGAGGAGCAAAGACGCTCAACACTCTTGGCTTGGAATTGCATTTGCTGGAGGTGCTTGATGAATCGCAGCACAGGGAACATGGACTGTGCAGGGTTGGAAGATTGGAACTCCAATCCGTAGCCTACTCGCTACTCGCTTGTGCCAGACTGTCGTCCTAGCTTACGTGATTGATGCATCCTTCTGAATCGCTTTCCATGTATTTTACTGTAGCTAGTTGCACGTGTGCCAGTGGAGATCAAAAGTTCGTGTGCGCAGATTGCAGATATAGATTTCCTAGTGTGTTTGCGAGTTGTGGCCTTCATGGCTGGCAGTAAGACAGCGGCGAGATGTGAACAGAATCCTGCCGCGTCAGACGCACCAGGTGAGTTCATCTCCAACCGCCACCACACACACATGAATTCAACTATTTGGGTGCGCCAGAGTGTCACTCTTTTGTGTCAACTTCCCCCCCCACGCACCAAAGAACTTACAAGATGGATCCTCTGCACGTTTGAAGCGTTAATTTGTTGGATTTGATTTGGTCTTGACATTTGTTTTCCAACATGGGGCCGCTCTAGAAGCAAGCAAGCAAAGGGCAAATTTTAATTGCATGTTGGTTGACAAACATCCATGACTGCTTCCAGGTGACGCTTAGCAACTTTGTCCAATACCTGGGCAGAACTAACCAGTGTACCATTGACAAGACGCCGAAAGGCCTGGGGTGAAACCTTTTGCCACCGCGTGCAACTAGTAGAATCTTGAATTTTGCACTTGAAGCCTCTGCATTGTTCGCAGCAAATGCGCTGGAGCCTGATTTTGTTGAATGCCAAGCCTCGACAAGGCTGGTACATCCAATTTGTTGACAATTCTCCGGAAGCACGCATGCGTGCCGCTGCAAAGCAGGCTGGCTTGTGATTGTGCCATTGTACATGTAACTTGTTCATACATGTTCGGAATTAGGAGCAGAGCAGATTGCAATGTCGACTCAACTGCGGATATGATGAAGGCGCTGGAAGAAGGAGAGATTTCATCTGAGCGACGCCATGAAGTTCACTTGTTTGGACCTCAGCTTTGATTGGAAGCTCCTTTTTGAGACTTCGTGTGTTTATGCAACTGAAGTAGTTGCTTGAAAGGAACCCATGGTGTCGGGCAGAGTTTCAATCTGTAGCTTTACCAATGTGAACGGGAGCATTAAAGTAGGATCAGGTCGGCGGACACTTATACAATCTTATACATATATATATATATACTCTCTTTACCTCAATTATAGAAGAAATTGCGGCTATATATCTTCTATTTGAAATGTATCCGGGAGGGTGCCCGGCAAGCAACTCAAATAGAATACATGATTAATTTTATATAGATAAAAACCGATCAGATTTGGTGTTTTTGAGTTACTTTGGCATTTTGGACTTTCTTCTAAACAACCTATATCTTCTATATATTTGATTGTGGGCTTTTGTCGTGGATCTTCTATGTGATCTTCTATTTGCAAGCATTCTACTTGATCTCCATTTATATCTTCTATTTGACTTTTTATTCTGAGCTTACTTGATGACTCGACAATAAGGCATCCCAAATCACAAACAAACTCGAGTTTCTATTTTGTCAACTTTCCCGGTCAAGACAAAAATGGTCATGTTGCAAGAGTTGAGTTGGTGCAAAAATCACAATTTTTGAGGTGTAAAACAGGCGCCAGTGAAATCTGGCTTCCAAACTCTCTCAAGAGGTGTTGACCAAGAAAGGCCAAATTGGATCTTAGGAGCTACTTCTGCGGCAGTGAACATCTTGTATTTGAAATGCTCTCCAGGAACCCCCAATTTGCATCGTTTATTTGAACAAATTCCCGGATATTTTCTATTTTTGTGGTATATATATATACTATATGATTATAAACGTGTATATATACATATACTTATATGGTTATATACATGACTCAGACTCTAAAGCAAACTTGTCTCCCGGACTTGGACTAACCGTTTTCTACTTTGGTTCGAGTTTCAGGAGCAAAAAATACATACGCACACACATATGTATATATATATATATGTATATTTTCATAGATACATACAAACTATAGATGGCAATAAACCCACCCTCCCTCAACAATCCCATAACCATGTGTACACAACACTCTGGAGGATCTGTTGAGAGCTCCACGCAACAATGTTTAGAGGTTTGGGCTGAGGTCATTCTTCAGGTTGGTTTGGCAACATATTGTCTTTGGGCTTGTGCGTTTTCTGTATTTTGTTTAGATTCCAGGCTCTTTTTTTCTCTTGCTTGTAACCTTGCCTTCGGCACTCAATTCAAACATGTCAGCTCATTACGAACCCCTTGGTTCAAGCTACCCAAAACTAGCACAGTCGTCAACTCGCCAAAGGGGATAGTCTTGGGGTCTCATACCTGCCATGACAACACACCCCAAAAGAAAGAAAGGTAATGTGGAGCCCAGCTTTTACACTTGTGTGCTTTTGCCATGCTTTTGTGCATCAATGCTGATGATGTGTAGGCAATGATTACACTGACACTGATCGCGTTTCACAACTCTTTGTCCTTTGTTTGGGATAGTGACTTCATTGCCAGGGACAACAGATTCAATCAAAACAAGATGACTCCGTTAAACAGGCCTGTGCTAAATTTCTGACATGGAGTTCACCCTTTGTAGGGTATAAGAGAGGATGTTTCTTTTTGTGATCGGCCCCGTCGGAACTGTCTGCTCGGAGCGGCCCTGTGAACATTGCAAAAGCCCCGTCTGAACTGCAACCGGTATATATATATATATAGAGAGATCTAGAGAGGTTTGCATATATTTACTTGTTTTTTGTCTTATTTAGGGCTGCACATGCACATGAGTGTCATTCCCAGATTGCCGGGCTCAAGAACTGTCGCTTTTAGAATTGCTGTTCTGACAGAACCCCTCAGCAAATGGAAGCTAAGCTAGCAATCACTAGGCCAATACTTTCTCCAAACAGTTTACTGTTGGGGTGCCCCCTTATGGAAAAGAAGCTGGCCACAGCCTCTGGCTGCGCTGGTGAACGCTGTGTCCGGGGCGTTGCTCTTCTTCTCTGCCTGCTGTCCTCTTCTTGTCTTTCTGCTGTGCAGTCCGGCCACAGCTGCCAGCCGGTCTCCAGACCTTGTCCTTCTGTTGTCCTCCTCTTGTCTTCCTCTTGACCTCGTCTTGTCCTCCACTTGTCCTCCTGTTGTCCTCTTTGTCGCTCTTGTCCTCCTCTTGCCTTCTTCTCCACTTTCGTAAGTTTTCAGGTTTTGATATCGGCTTGAGCGTCGGTGGTAAGGATAAATCCAGATCTGCATATTGCGTTAGGAATATTAAAGGGGTAATGAGTTGGCCAAGCCTGCCCCTATTTGTGCTCAGATTCGTATGATGGCTAACATGGTTAGGAGCTTCGAGAGGAACCTGGGATCGTCCGTGTTCCCGACTTCACGCGTGGCCTTCTCGTGATCTTTGTGGGGTCTTGGTGCTTGCTTTCGTGCTTCTGGCATTGGAGCCAGGTGTGTTCTTGAGCATGCTGCTGCAGTTTCCGCCTTCCAGGCTTTTCTGGCACGGCTTCCCGCTAAGGGACCACCTCGCAATGCTTTCCCTGATTGTAGTTGGCCGATTTGTGTTGATGCGGTTCGTGTTGCTCCCATGCAGCACCCTATTGGAGGGTGTTTCCGCATTCAGGTCGTGCACCCCAAGTCCCCCCCTTTTCCTTTTTCACTTCGTTCGTAGTTTGCCGGCTGGTGTCTCACTGTGGTCAGGCATTAGTCCGGGCCTGCGATCGTGCAGCTTGAAGTGGAAAAGCGCGTTTATATATATACTGTTCGGGTTCTCTCTTAGGAAAAGACACGGGCCACAGTCTCTGGCGGCGTCCTTTTCTTGTCCTCGAGTTGTCCTGGCAGCCGCGCTGGCGAACCCTGTCCTCTGGCCACTCTGAGTCCGGCAAATCCTGTGTAATCCTTTTGTCTTCCTGGTGTTCTCCTGCTGTCCTCTGGCCTGTTTTGCTGGTGTCCTCCTACTGGCCACTCTGTCTTGTCCTCCTCTGGCCACTCTGGTTAACCCTATGTCCTCCTCTTGTCCTCCTGGTGTGCTCTGGCCACTCCCTGTGTCGTGTCGTCTTCTTGTTCCCGTCTCATTGGGGAACATATGATTTTTCTTATTACGCCGTGACTTCCGCGGCTGAGAGTAGTGGCCTCGTCCGGTCCTTGTCTTTGTATAAGTGTGTGTGTGTGTGCCACACTCCGTCTCCAGGAGTTCGTTTCATGATTGCTCAAGTCCCTTTTGTTTTTCCCCCACAAAAGCACACAGGGGAGTGGTGCGCAGTCTTGGAGTCACCACTCAATGAAGACACTCCTTGCACTGCGGTGATACCCGGAAAGGACGCTTTCCGGACGTACCTGCGGATGACAACACTCCAAAATTTCTTGCTGTTCTTTGACTCCGTGGTCATTACATGCTATACCCCCAAACCCTTTCCCAGCTGACATGTTGCTGCGCCACCGCCGCTTTCAGTGAACTTGTGAGCGCTGGAAACACCTTTGTTCAAACACCTTCAGTTTCTCGGACTCACCCGCCTTTGCGTTCCACCATCCACTTCACTGTGGATTATGACTGTGACTAACTGCAAACCCTGTGACTAAGTGTGTATCGCTGTGTCCTCCCACTGGGTACACAGTGTGAACCTCTCGCAAGAGAGGCGCCGAGCCACTCCGGACTGCCGTTTTTCTGATTTGCAGTGCCATCTTCGTGGATTATGGTTCGATTATTTGTTTCACCCATGAATCAACGGATTTTCTCGCCGCCGGGCAAACGGGTTGAACGCCGCCGGGCATACGGAATGTCAATGCAGCTCATGTCTCACGACCACTTTTCAAGCTTCAGCTCTCACGGATTTTCCATGCAGCCCATGTGGACATGTCACTCATGTTCCTTTTGACAAGTTTCCGGCTTTCACTTGGCCAGACCCGCTTTTCAGAGATCGTTCTTAGAATTTTACATTCTTTAAACTTAGTCAACTTGTACGGCACCCCACCACAGAGTGGGTCAAATGGGTTTCCAGACCAGAGTGCGTCCCATTTGCGGGAGATCGTTGAAGGACCAAGTCTGGTGGAAGAGGTGGGTGGCAACGGCTTCACGCTGCGAGGAGAGACCTTTCGATTGGGTCACTGCGGATGATGAACCCTGCGCCCCTCCCTTGGCGGGTTATCCCTTAGAGTGGATGGAAGAGGATCAACTTGTGGAACCGGACAGGTGGGAACACGGGTTGTTGAGGTTGGATTCCTCAATGCCCTACTTGGGTGCCACGAAGCCGAAGCCAGTGGGTACTCTTCAGAGGCCCCGTGATGGACGGGCTTTAGTGTGGGATCCCCGCAAACCGCTACCGGGACTACATGAAGGCTCCTGTGATTCAACTCGAAAGGACTGTCTCCTGCTTTTGGGAAAAGGTCCTGATGGGCCAGCAGCCAGGGCTATTACCCCCAAGGAGGTGGTCCAGTTGACTGGGGCGAAAGGGACCCCGATTTCGGGAAAGAAGTCACCAAGGCATTGCTGAGACCCCCCAGGTCACTTTATATGTTGGCCACCAAATGGGCAGCTGCGCAGGTTGAGCCCAAGGTAGGAGTGTGTAAGTTGCAGTGGGAAGAAGAATCTCGAAGGATTTTGGAAGCATGGCTGGAAGAGAACCCGGCCAAACCGGGCACAATGGTTGTTGGAGGGGGAGGCAAGAAGTCCAAGAACAAGGACCTCCCCATCCATGAACAAGCGATGAAGGCCATGAGCTTCGTGCTCCGTCATTCAGCAGGGACACCTGAGTGCCCGATCAACGAAGAAGGTTGGGTCCGATGGGACGATTTAAGGGCCCATGAGGCTTGCCGACGGTTCGGAGCCTGGACGCTCTGGCAAGCGATCGAAGACGATGCAAAGGACCGGGTGGTTGCAACATGCACAAGGTGAGTGGTGGGTGGCTGCATGGTCCGGCCACACGCAGGACCGTGTGGTGGGGCCGGCCGCTCGGGTACCGCATGATGAACTGCCAGAAGAGCTCATCCATGGATCCTACCGAAGGCACACTGCCTCAATCCAGAAGAAGGGACTCCTGCATCAAAGCAGAGACTTGCACTTCCATGATCCCAGGTCGTCTTCAGGCAAATGGAGGCTTGTCCTGGAGACATGCGTGACGATTGACGTGAAAAGGGCAAGTGACCTCGGATGCGATTTCCGAAAGACCGGAAATGATGTTTGGCTCTGTGAGCGCAATGTTCCTCCAGAAGCCATCAAGAGTATTGAAGCGTGGGAAGACCCGAAGGACACTGCACCGCCAACTGAAAGGGCAGGAGGTTCTGGGGCGGAATTCTCCCGAGGAAGGTGCGAGCAGCGCTTCAAAGGGGGAGTACAACTCTGCTGCCCTTGATCTTAGAGCCTACCGCCCCGGAAGCTGGCAACCAAAGTTGGAACCCAGACCTGTCACTGAGGAAGTGGCAGCTACCGCCTGTGACATTGGTAAAAATGCTAGGATTAAGAGATGTGAGCATTACAACTGGCTAGGTACGCACCACACAAGTCATGTACCGCGCACTGCAGGCCCAAAGTGAGCTT